AACTTTATCCCATGTTTACGCCTTTTTCCTGTGGATATGACTTATTGGATATTTTTTTCATAACCCACAGTTAAGTGCAGTTGTGACATCACAATGGTTTTTGCGTTAGCGTGATGAAGTAAAATAAAGTGGAGTCCTATATAAAACAGTGTAAAACATTGGTTGTGAAGTATTAAACATGGGATAAAAAGAATCTCCCATGATTTGTAGTTGGATATGACTTTTATCCAACTCATGTGTTTTTTATCCCCTCGCTAAGGCTCGGGGATAAAAAACACACAACTCGGATAAAAATCATATCGAACTACAAATTATGACAGATCCTATATTTATCAACATTTTTTACCTTGACTTTTCCTTTGACCTTGACCTCACGTTTTTATGCCCCGCCATGAATATGGCCGGGGCATATAGTGTTTGTCATGTCCATCTTCCGTCCTTCTGTCTGTCCTTCCGTCTGTCCTTCCGTCACACTTTGCATTTAGCTCTGTTCAAAGCTTAGTTTCAAAGAAACTATCCAAGATATTTTTATCAAACTTCATATGCTGATAGATATTGATGAGTGCTATGCAACTGCATCAACATTTTTTGACCTTGACCTTTCCTTTGACCTTGACCTCACTTTTCTTAAATTAGTGTTTAGCTCAGTTTTAAAGATACCATGCAAGGTAGTGTAATCAAACTTCATATGTTGATACATACTGATGTAAGCTATTCAACTGCATCAACATTTTATGACCTTGACCTTTCTTTTGACCTTGACCTCACTTTTCTTAAATTGGTGTTTAGCTCAGTTTTAATGAAACAATTCAAGATATATTTAATAAACTTCATATGCTGATACATACTGATGAGAGCTATTCACATGAATCAACATTTTTTTTTTAACTTGACCTTTCCTTTGACCTTGACCTCACTTTTCTTAAATTAGTGTCAAACTTCATATGCTGATACATACTGATGAAAGCTATTCAACTGCATCAATATTTTTTCACCTTGACCTTTCCTTTGACCTTGACCTCACTTTTCTTAAATTAGTGTTTAGCTCAGTTTTTAAGAAACCATAATATTTTTATCAAACTTCATATGCTAATACGTACTGATGTAACCTTTTCAACTGCATTAACAATTTTTGACCTTGACCTTTCCTTTGACCTTGACCTCACTTTTCTTAAATTAGTGTCGAACTTCATATGCTGATACATACTGATGTAAGCTATTCAACTGCATGAATATTTTTTCACCTTGACTTTTCCTTTGACCTTGACCTCACTTTTCTCAATTTGTGTTAAAATGTTGCATTACTAATATACCCACGGCGGGGCATTCATGTCCTATGGACATATTTCTAGTTTAAATAAGTGTAAAACTCCATTTAAAAAAAAATCAAGATAGTATAATCAAACTTCATATGCTGATACATACTGATGTAGACTATTCAACTTTATTAACATTTTTTACCTTGACCTTTCCTTTGACCCTTGACCTTACTTTTCTTAAATTAATGTTTAGCTCAGTTTTTAGGTAACCTGAGTCACTCAGGTGACCTATTGCTATCCATTCTCATCCGTCGTCGTGCGGTGTGTGTCATGTGTTAACATTTGAACATTTTTAGCTTCTTCTCTGAAACCGCTTAACCAATTTCAACCAAATTTGGCCAAAAATTAATGCAATCTGTAAAAATCTTCTTTTTTACTCCTGGACATCAAGCAGTGAAACTGTTGGCATGATTGTAATAAGCATTGAGCCCTCTACCAAAATTATGAAATTCATGGCCCCGGGGTCAGGGGTTCTGGTGCTAGGGCGGGGCTATATAGATCATATAGTGAAAGTGCATTATTTCTTTGAAAATCATCTTCTCTGCTCCTGGGTATTAAATAAACTAGCTAAGTACATAGTTATGAAGAGCTAGAGTTCCTCTTCCAAAATTAGGAAATTCATGGCCCCAGGGTCAGGGGATATGGTGTTAGGGCGGGGCTCTATTGATTATATAGTGAAGTTGCATTAATTCTTTGAAAATCTTCTTCTCTGCTCCTGGGTATTAAATAAAGTAACTTAGTACATAGTTATGATGAGCAAGAATGCCTCTTCCAAAATTGTGAATTTCATGGTCCCTGGGTCAGGGGTTCTGATGTTAGGGAAGGGCTCTATTGATTATATAGTAGAATTGCATTAATTCTTTGAAAATCTTTTTCTCTGCTCCTGGGTATTAAATACATAGTTATGAAGATCAAGAGTGCCTTTTTCAAAATTGTGAATTTCATGGCTCCAGGGTCAGGGGTTCTGGTGTTAGGGCGGGGCTCTATTGATTATATAGTGAAAATGCATTAATTCTTTGAAAATCTTCTTCTCTGCTCCTGGGTATTAAATAAACTAACTTAGTACATAGTTATGATGAGCAAGAGTGCCTCTTCCAAAATTGTGAATTTCATGGCCCTTGGGTCAGGGGTTCTGGTGTTAGGGCAGGGCTCTATTGATTATATAGGGAAAAAGGCATGAATTCTTTCAAAATCTTTTTCTATGCTCCTGGGTATTTTTCAAACAAAGGAAGTGCATGGTTATGATAAGGAAGAATGACTCTTCCAAAATTGTGAAATTCATGACCCCTGGGTCAGGGATTCTAGTGGGGGGGGGGGGGGAGGGAGAGAGCTCTATTGATTACCAGTATATAGTGAAAATGCATAATTTCTTTCAAAATATTTTTTCTACGACTGGTTATAAAGTAATGAAGCAAGTGTATAGTTATGATGAGAAAGGGTGCTTCTTCCAGAATTGTGAGTTCGTGGCCAATGGGTCAGATGTTCTGGTGTAAGGATGGGGCTTTAATTATTTAAAAATATGGTGAAAATGCATTTCTTTGAAAATCTTTTATGCTTCTAGGGATGTTCAAGGCAAATAGAGTAAAAGTTTTAATATGCAAGGGTATTTTTAGCAGAATTTTGAACACCTGGACCATTTAGTCAAGTGTTCTGGTCCTGGCCAGGGCTCTATTAACTTGTATTCTGCTGAGCAAAGTAATTCCCCTTTGCCATTCACCTTTGAAAATTATTCAATGTAAATAATGTATTTGAAAGCTTAATAGAATAAGAGAATTATGCAAGAAAATTTATTGTATAATAAAAAAAGTAATTTCATAGTTTTAATGACTTGGAAATAATAGATGAATAAAAATGAGACAAAAATAATTTATCTTTTTAAATGTTCTTCAAAGGCCAAGAGAGGCCATTGTGAGAAGTAATAATATGGGGTTAAATAATAGACATTTTGTTAATAGTCTGCATGGGAATAGTGATAAATGGGGGGGGGGGGGGGGGGGGGAGGGGGGGCAGATAGATACTAGACAGATTATCTTGTTGATGCTAATCATACTATTTTTCCTGCTTTTGGGCAACAAAGCTTCATTTATCAGTTTATGGATCCTCTAAATTGTTGTATTGTACTCAGGTGACCATTAAGGCCCTTGGACCTCTTGTTAATAAACCATTCAAATCAGTGTTATCAAACTTCATATGCTGATACATACTAATGTTAGCTTTTCAACTTCATCAACATTTTTTTTACCTTGACCTTTCCTTTGACCTTGACCTCACTTTTCTTCAATTAAGGTTTAGCTCCATTTCTAAATAAACAATTTAAGATATTTTTATAAAACTTCATATGCTGATACATACTGATGTAGGCTATTCAACTGCATCAACCTTTTTTTTATCTTGATTTTTCTTTTGACCTTGACCTCACTTTTCTTATGTTAGTGTTTAGCTCAGTTTTTTTAAGAAACCATTCAAGATGTGTAATCGAACTTCATATGCTGATACATACTATGTTAGCTTTTTAATTGCATCAACATTTTTTGACTGTGACTTTTCAGTATGTGTCAGCATATGAAGTTTGATAATACCTTCCGGAATTATTTTATTCAAAACTGAGCTAAACACAAATTTAAGAAAAGCGAGGTCAAGGTAAAAAAATGTTGATACAGATGATAGCTCTCATCAGTATATTTTTATCAAGCTAAATATGCTGATACATATTAGTGACAGCTATTCAACTGCATCAAAACTTTTGACCTTGTACTTTCCTGTGACCTTGACCTTACTTTTCTTTAATTTGCATTTTGCTAAGTTTCAAAGAAACCATCTAAGATATTTTTATGTAACCTTATACACTTGTACATAATTTGGTGAGAATTTATCATCTATATCCAATTTTTGGATTTCAATTTCTATTTTAAAGAAACTATTCAAGATGTACTCATCAAACTTCATACATTAATACAAATTTCGTGTTGCATTACTAATGTACACTTGGCGGGGCATTCATGTCCTATGGGCATATTTCTAGTTTTAGCAGATTTTCTTAAGATTTAAACCATTTGTGGCATTTAGCTCCAATATTCACTTTAAAAGTGTAAATTTCCAGGTACCATTAATGGCAAAGGGTTTGAAAGATTGCTACTTTTATCTAATACTTTATTTTAAAAAACAAGAGATGTTTGTAAATCACTTACCCCCCCCCCCCCCCAACCAAATAATTGGAATTTTTCTGAGTCCTAGGGGAATACTCTGTCAAAAATTGCTTGATCGTACCCAAAACAGAACTTGACCTAGATATCTTTATGATAAATCTTGTTTCAGTATGCAACCTCTGCAAAGAAAATGAAGGGAAACTGCAAATAATTGGAATTTTTCTAAGCCAAAGGGGCATAACTCTGTCAAAAGTTGCTTGATCGTACCCAAAACAAAATTTGACCTTGATATTCTTATGATAATCTGTATACCAAATTTCCTTTCAGTATGTGCAACCTCTGCAAAGAAAATGAATGGAAACTGTTGGTGGATCGACAGACAGACAGCAGTAAAGCAATATGCCCTCCCTTCTTTAAAGTGGGGCATGAAAATTAGCTCCCTGAAAATATAAACGAGAACCACATGCTTTTTGAAGTAAATGCATGAGTAGACACAGACTTCTCCTGTACTTCATCTAGTAAAATAAAACACAAGTATTTTATAGATTTTATTGTTGCACTACAGTATAAAGCAAAATATACCCACACATTTAAGTTATATTCAGTAAATTTATCCCTGAATTATTTAGGGCAATAGACAACTTTCACATATTAAGGAGTTATTTCTCTTTGTCGGTATAATGCTAATTTTTCTCACTACGTTCTCACCTGTAAATATTTTAAACCTTTGATGCTTTCCGACTATTTTGTACTGTTCCCATACTGCCAAGGTATGGGGCATGAAAGAAAAAACATAATGATGGTATGCTTATAGATTTAATTTGTTGGACACTGTCTCATCAAGTTGGTAACATTATAGAGGGAAAACAGTATACAGTTGTTGATTGGGGTAGAGGGAAACAGTCGATCTGTTGGACTGGAGTGCAAGCTGTTGCCCAAGGCTGTAGGCCACGGGCAACAGCTTGCATGCCGGTCCAACAGTTCAACTGTTCCGAGACTCCTGTCAACAACTGTTTTGTTATACTCCTACTAAATCAAATTCATAAATTTTACAGAAAATAAAATATTTTTCGTACTCTTACTGTCTCTATATATTTTCAAGTATCGCCTGGATTTCATCTTTGTTCGCCGCAGCAAAACGAACATCGGCCACTCCTGTTTATCTTAACGACAGGTTTAAATTACTCGACACTCCTCGGCTGATTACATTTAACTCACAGTTACCTGAATCAGCCGAGGTTTGCCAATTGAGGAAAAGATAACTCAATTTAGCTCCATTTGACGTCAGTGGGCAACAGTCTTTTTTTAAAAGTCTATTTTAACAGTTCCTGGACTGAAACTCAGGGAAAACAGTCGAACTGTTGGACTTTTTAAAGTAAGAAATTATATAGGGACTGTTTAGTAGGGGTATAACAATGGATTGTGCTGATTGACCCCACAAAGAGAAATAACCTTTGTATTTGTGAAAGTCTGTACGCAAGGTTTCACACAATAGAATAGAATAAAATTTCACACTCTTTTGGATGAAATGAGGAATTTATATTTACAAAGCAATTACTCATTACATACAGTACCAGTAGTTTTCAGAAGAATTTATATTTAACATTTTAGTTCAAAAGAATAATTCTAACTTCATTCATCCTTGGCTTCTTTTCATACAATTGAACATGAGGAATTTATATTTACAGAGCAATTACTCATTACATACAGTACCAGTAGTTTTCAGAAGAATTTATATTTAACATTTTAGTTCAAAAGAGTAATTCTAACTTCATTCATCCTTGGCTTCTTTTCATACAATTGAACATGAAATAACTTTACATGACTAGTTAACAGTTCATCTCCTATGGTAGCAATTTATATTTGTTCTTTGACCTCTGAATTATGACCTTTGCCACCCAAGCTTAACAGGAGCACCCACAAGATTAAGCCGCCCTACGTTTGGTGCCACAGACATAAAATGTATTCTATGCATTTATATGGACATAGCTGGTATCATTGATTACTATAGAAAATGTTTGAACTCTAATTCATCAAAACAATGTATTACATAATTACATGTACATGTATCTTAATAATAATTCAATATTCATGTACAAATTTAAAAATTTCCACTAATATTAATGTCTTTCTCATGATATTTAAAATAACAAACGATCGAGCCATTGTATACAACACAACAACAGAGCAAGTATATATCTGAACATATGGGTAGACATAAACTCTAGAAGAAGACTGGCAGTTAATGTAAACCTGAGGGGTGACAGGGGAATGGGAGGGGTTTAATACTGGCTCCATTTGATTCAAACCTTTTGATATTTTAGCAAGAAATAATCAACGAAAACTTCAATGTTTTCTTCACAGTGAAGAAGATTGATTACGTCGTTTTCTGGCTCACTTTGCTAACTACATGTAAAATATATGTACGTGTAAGTACTGGTACATGATGAATTTTCATTTAAACTCGTACATGAATTACCATTTATTATGATATATTTCATATGAATTATGAACAATTTTTGCCCCTTTTGTTGACTAATCTAAAATATATGTACATGTACATACTGGTACATAATGAATTTTCAGTTGTATTATCATTTATTATGATATATTTCTTATTAATTAAGGGCAATTTTTGCTCCTTTTGTTTTCATTCAAATTCAAAATGATCATCTAGCCTCTTCCTTAATAATTCACAAATTTCTGTGTTATTTGTTACGTAGTCCAGTTTTAAATTCACCATTGAGGATGATAACAAAAGGGAGACTACTTGTACAGAAGGGTAAAAACTCTTAGTATACAGATGAAGTTTCTCAGAAATGGCCTTCTTTTCCCCAAAATCTACTTTTCCAAAAATAAACTAAATAGCACTAAATGAATACAAAGCACTTGCATGTATTTTTCTGTATAAAGAACAACTATAGCTCTAACAAATCCCAACAAAAAATATTTTGAGGATGTCTGTGACACTATAGGAAAATATTTCCATGATCACTTCTACAAACGAAATATGCTTAATACAAAATGTACCAGTGTAAAGAAGTAATAAATAACAAGATAATATGCTTATATATGTAATAGAAAAGATAAAAATAAGCACTATTTAGAAGAATACTTAAAGGACAGGTGATAAAAAATGAAATAAAAACATACATAACAAAATAGCCTATGAAGCACTTGTAATGAATTAACTATCTACATTGCAAGTGCACCAACCTAATAAAACTGTCATGTACAAACAAATTTTGAAATTTTATGAAGCTGCTTGATACTGACTTGATACTGAGAAAAAAGAGAAGCTTTCACTCACAAATATATAACAAATAATAAAAATGTAATGAAATTCATACAGAGAAGAACACTAATATGGAAATGAGAAAAAAATCACATGGTATCATTTCTTGCTAAGTTTTTGGAGTGACTTTTTCTTAGCTTTCGTAATTGGAATGAAGCTGAAAGATATTATTTAGCTGTGTTTATTTTGCAATATTGTTATGGATGTACTCAATTGTGGTTTAAAATATTCCCAGCATGCTTAGAATGATTATCTATTTCAAATTAGAATCCTCTGCTGCTGAGGTTTAAGAATAAGTGGACAGGTAAAAGCATGCAAAACAAAATCAATCAACATTATTCTTTCATACATGTAGCTGCACTGAACAATTGGCAAACTTGTGAGAAAGCCCTAGACTGTTAGATACATGCATATAAATAAGACATTGACACTATTCAAAATAAAACATATAGTGTATAAATGATTTCAGTGCCCTACACAAAGGGAATTGTTTACATGTTAATTCTAAATGCAGGAAAAAGAAACATTCATTTTGTGTTAAAGACAGTAACCACTATCTCTACACACATTTATACACAGTTGTAAAACAATTGCCCTGTACACTTCCTTTAAAGAATGTCTTACTGGAACTTTTCCTCTCCTTTGCATGCAGACCAAAATTCTTATTCAAGAATGTGTTTGTTACACACCATACCCCTGACACAATGTTATCTTGACATTTGACCTCACATAAGACCTTGACCTTCATGTTGGCCATTCACAGTCTCTATAAAGAATTAACCTTTTTCCTTTCCCCCTTCCACAAAGTTAGATTTTTAAGTATAAGTGTAGAAGGATCCATAAAGAAATGCACATGTGGTTGAGATGGAGTGATGATATTATGCATTTTCACAACCTATTATCAAGTTCTTCTGGAAATGACAAAAAAAGAAAACAGGCATTCGGACCACACATGGCAAACTAAACAAGCTTATCACTACACCAACCGTACGTACTAGACTAATAAACACAAATATTGTCATGAAACTAAATATTAACTAATTTCTCTGACAGGTACCTATAACTACATGTATGAATAATGAAGAAAAATCATTTTTCTTTGTAAATCTTCTAGAGATCAAAACATTAACTATTTCATTCTTGTTTTTATCTGCAACCGTAAATTACAGATTCACCACCCATTGTCTGTTATTTAGCAGAACTCTGACTGCCACACCAAGTCATCCTTCCATTCATTTTAAAAATCTATATTTGTGAGGTCACCAACACAAAAATAAATAAAAATGACCCTCTGTAAACAAATTAAACACAAAACTGTAAAACCCTTACAATACAGTGATATTCAATTCAAACATAATTTTTTCCAAATGAACTTTCAGTTGAAATTTAACATCAAATGTGTACTCTTTATCTTTCAACTTAGTATATAACATGTACTTATAAAGTCAACCATAGTCATTAAAATTTTGCAACTCTTCTGTGTAAATTTAACTTTAATAAAGCAGTTATGGGTACATATATTTGATATGTTCATTTCAGAGATCCTAAATATGTTCTAGGTAAGCACCAACAGAAATTCAAGTTGCCTTTTTTCTGTTTTTTTTAAATTTTTAAAACTTAAAATGATGACTACTCCTGAATCATGCTACACTGACATTTGTGACATTTGTATTTTGTTATTACCACATGTTAACAATAAGTCACAACTAAGATTTAACAGTAATTGCCCTTTGTTGAAGAATTCTTTTTATCAAATAAATAAATATGACCCCTCATTTAATTCCTATATTTCTCTAGCATTAAGATTTTTCATTCATTTTCTGCATCTCTTCTCCATCTTCAAAGGGTTCCCTGGCTTTTCTTCCACGGGTTATTGTGGCTGCTATCTCATCAAATGTCCGATTCTTTGTTTCTGGTACTTTGAAGAAGATGAAAAGAATAGCTCCCACCAGAATACCAATAAATGGAAGGTATACATATCCAAGCATAGCTTTCTGTAAGTTATACAAGAGAATCAAGTTTTAAATTGAAAAAAAAAAGACATTCAAGTGGCAATTTCTTTGTGGCATGTTTTCATTTTTTATCAATGAACAGGAAATTTTTGTGGTTGAGCCAAACCACAGAATCAGTTGATCAAGGGACGACAAATTTAACTAAATAGAATAAAACAAGATAACTGGATATAAATTTATGTGTCAGCAAAATTGTATTTTTTTTTTTGCCTAAACCACAAAATTTGATCCTAATAAAATATAATAATTCCAAAGTATTTAATACATAATACAGATACATCTCTCATTTTTCTGCACCATCTTTTTTTTCCAATCAATCATACTTGAACATAAAGAAAGTCTTACCTGCATAAACCTAAATATTAAGTTCAAGATAAAGTTGCAGACCCAGTTAAAGGTCAAGGACAAACTCATGGCTGCTGCCCGAGGCTCTTGTCGGAAGATTTCTCCCACCACAATGAATGGAATAGGACCTGTGAGAAATTAAATTCGACATTTGTATCTCATTAAATAGACTTAGCCTGATATAATCAAGTTTTCTAAATGTAGTAAGTAAAGCTGAAAAATATACAGAAATAAAGCCATTACTAATGAACAGATAACAACATAATTTCAGCGGAAAACTTTTTTTTGCTTATTCCTGTACTTGGTATTATCAAAGGGTAAAATGTCCCATTGCTAATTATGATACAATTATAGAGTAGTTATTTCTATTTATCATATATGTTATAATTACCCAGTCCAAGGGCAAATCCAATGACATAAGTGTGCATGGCAATAATAGCAATTATGGCAAAAACACCCCGAGATTCCTGCAAAAGTAAGGATGCTGTATAATATACAACAAGGAAAATACATGAATTGAAACCCTGTACATAAATATCGAACAATTTTTTAACAAATGTACAATATGGGTTTGATAAAGGCAGATATTTTGTTTCTCTCAGTGTAACTTTCTCCTTACATTATCAATGAATGCAATCTCCTCCTTCAATTCTTACTGCAACAATTATAATAATATTCATCTTACATGTACCTCCAACTTTATCTAAATGCAGACTTACTTGTAGATCTTGGTCGTACTGTAGATTGTGGAAGATTGTGAGAGCTATGAAGGAGACAACCATACAACACATGGGATAAATCAGAAGTGGGCGTCGACCTAATTTCTCCATCAGAGGGACAGCTACAATGGTGGTGAGTACATTAATAAGACTGGTCAGACATACCACCCACTCTACTACACTCTTCTCCACCCCAGCATTCTTGTACATAAAACTGGAGAAGGACATCACCTACAAAACAGACAGGACGTCTTAACCATCTACAAAACCAAAAATATTTTTTTTCATTTTGATTTTTTTTCTAAAATGTTCTGTAACCCTGTTGAGTAGGAACTAAACTCTAATATCTGCTACTAGAAAGAGTAATCTCCCTTACAGCATTAATACCAGACCACTGCTGAGAAATCTGCAGAACACAGGCAATGATAACTGGCCAGCGAAGGTCAATGGTGGTCAAGAGCTGCTTCAGGGTAAAGGACTGGACACTCTGAGATTTACGGGCCTCCACTTTCATCTCGTCAATCTCATCTTCAACATCAAAGTAACCTCTCAGCTTCCTTAATGCTGAAAACATAAGAAGAGACTCAACATTAAAGTAACCTCTCAGCTTCCTCAATGCTGAAAATGTAAGATACTTAAATTTACAAGAAAAGCCTACTTTACTTCCTATCTGCAAATCTTCGCAGATAAAAGACATGTTTATTTAGTAGCACACTCCATTACACTGTTATGGCAGTAGAACCATTGTGGAAGCTGTAAACAACATCTTCACACTTGTCTTTTAATGCTAAAGCTTTAATTATTATCAAATAGACTAAGCCTCACCATCTCTGGCATCTTCTTCCTCGTTTTTCTTGATGAGGAGATATCGGGGACTTTCTGGACAGAACGGGAGACCAATCAGGCAGACCAGGGCTGGGACAGCATTAAAGATGAACACCCATTCCCAGAGCTCATGAGTACCTGTAAAACAATGGAGTACAATTGATAACATGGCAGAGGATGGCATACACAGTAGAGGGAGCATGACAGAAAGCATGGAGTGAAAATCAGCTGATGTTGTCAGTTCATTAATGCTTGAATATAAAATTACATATTCCATTTATGGTAGGAAAGTCTTCTTTAACTTCACTGCAGTAAAATAAAGCATTCTAACTGCTGAGAATATGTCTTATGGAGAATCTATATGTTTTGTGAGTAAAGAACACTTACTAGGGGTGTAACAATTAACCATATATCATAATACATGTACACAAAAAAGCAATTTTATTGTGGTATAAAAAAATTTGTGTCTGTATAATTCTTTCAGTATTTCATATTCATTTCATAAGGATTCTAATGAAATAAAAGTTCTAGCCTGGTGTTGAATGTATTTACTACAAGACACCTGTAATAATGATAAGTTCCTGAGACCGCATGGTTGTATCTTTTTTTTTTTTTGGCCTCTGACAAGTATGTGTACATTAGATTATTTCTTTTTATTTGAACCTTACTAAGGTGATTTTCTTTACTGAATTGTTATCATTCTCTTTAATATCATTTTGTATCAGAGTTTATAAAAGTTACTACTTAAAGAAATAATCTACTAGTACTGTGATAGATTGTTTCCAGTTTTGGAACAGAGAGACAATTCATATGAAAAAATATGAAAAGTGATATATCATGGTACAGTCTCAGTGTATCACAGTATATCATGATACACTCATATCATTACACCCCTAACACTTACCAAAGAGTTTAGATACACCCATGATATTGGACCACAGGATACCAACGGTGATGAACAGCTGATGACAAGTACCAATGGCTCCACGAATCTTCTTAGGAGAAATCTCAGCCAGATATAGTGAGGCAAGACTGACATTCAAACCTGTTCAAATATAAAATAGGTCCATGCATGCTACCTATGCACTCTCTCTCTCAATCTATGGAATCACACCAATGTACAAACTATATAGCACTCTAAACTAGTGGGCAGATTCAAAATTCAAGTCATAAATTTTGACGTTAAATCAGAAATCAATTAATATAATTATGTACTGATATTGATAAATGTGCAAAATTAAACAAAAATTACCGCAGTGCAATCCCACAAGGGCTCGGTGGACAATGAGGACTTCGAAGGATCTGGTAATCTTGGGAATTCCTCCAAATAAGGCGGCCAAAAACATGATGAATGTGATCAGGATCATACCCCTCTTCCTGTTTACAAGAATTCAACACTGTTAACATTAATTCTTAATTCTACGGCAAAAGTACCCTCAAAGAAATTTAGATCTTTGTCTTTGTAAGATCTATCTCTCTCTTTTTCTCTCAATAAACAGCTTTCTAGCTTTTAAAACCAGCATAATTGTCAACTTGCCTCCCAAAGTAGTCAGCCCATTTTCCGGAGATAAAAGCACCAACCATTCCAAAGAGAACAAAAATGGCCACTGTGATGGACCAGAGCCATTCCACTTCATTAGGGGCCTCATAGTCCAAATAATGAACTTTAGTATTGTTCTTTGTAGGAGTTAAGATGTAAGATGTGTTCACGTCAGAACTGTTGTTTCCTAAAGCTACAACAGTTTGGTTGTTCTTCGCTTCACCCATAGGTTGTCCTCCTGCCCTGTCAGTAAGTACATCTTGATAGAACATCTGAATGATCTGTGAAGAAATAATTACCAATTCTGATTTCCAGAAAATTTCACATGCATACATCGCAAAGTCAGGTCTGTTTAAGAACAATATCATATAGGTATATATATACAGTAAAACACGCTTACAGCAAAGTGCCAGGGACCAACAATATTGATTCGTTATAAACATAATTCGTTATATCCCTTCAGTTCACAATATGTTTTAAAACTTAAAGGAATGAAAATCACTTTGCTGTAAGCATAAATTCATTACAAGTGTTTTCACTATAACCGTTTTTTACTGTACCGGTAATTCTCTTTTAGTTCATATATAAAATCAGTGCTCTCACACCAGTTTTTGGGACTGGGGCCAGGGCCGTGAAAATTGGGAAAATTAGCAACCTTTTGAGGAAATTAGGGAAAATCATAACTAGACAATATCCATTAAATTCATTATATATTGAGTTTCTGGTGGTTGTTATCAACTAAATTTCTGTTTTGTAATATAAAGAAATATGAATAACAAGTTTAGGAACTACATATTTTACTAAATGTTCTTTAATATTTGGGGAAGTGACCAATTGGGAAAATTAAAACATTAAATTGGGAAATGGTACCTTTTTTGAATTGGGAATGGGGCCTTTAAACGGCCTCAATTATAGAGAATCGAGAGCCCTGAAAATTCTGGACAATATGTTAGAATATGAACTTAAATGCTATATGAATGTTGTCTACTGGTGAAAATGTTAAGGTGGTTGTTAATATATTATGTACTTGTATCCCAACACTGAGTAAACATACATATGGACACAAAAAGTAATATAGACCAAGCTTTCGTTAGTAACCTTAAGACAAAGATATAGATAGTTTTTGTTATGACGTATTTTCCCTCCAAGTTATTTCCCTTGGTCACAACCCTGGAGGTCAAACAAAGAATGAAAGAGGACCTTAAAAAATCATATATTTATCTGTCAGAAAAATCTCAATACTCAGAATAAGCTTCAATTGGTTGAATTATGAAAGAATCTGTGCATGCTGACCTCCAACATGGCGACCAACGAGAAATAACTCTTGCTTAAATTGCGTCTATCAAAAACTATTCTCTTTCCTGACTTGGTTACTGACATTTACCTACTACGAATCTGCTTGTTCACTTAGTAATTCTGACATACCTTTGCAGGGTTGTTGACATCTCCGATGTTGTAACCGTATAGGAACGAGTTCCCAAATACACAGAAGAACACACTACATAGTAAATAACACGTGTAGTTCACCTCTCTCTGCAAAACAAAAGGAAACGGCATTATATTTAATACATGAAGGATTTTTATACAGTTGAACCTTGTTATCTTGAAATTGATGGGGCCAAGAAAAAACTTCAAGATATTGAAGGATTTGAGATTGCTAAGGTTATAATACATTTTTGGTCAGAAAAGTAAACCATTAAGATTCCCCCTAATGTATTACAAATTTATGGTACCAGGTGAATGATTTCTGAAGGACATCATCTCAGGTTCAAAATTTCTTGCATAACACAACTTTTCTGTCCTTTCGAAGTTGAGAGTATCACTTTTTTTCCTTTTACAACTGATGCCTGCTTAGTCATCACATGATTACAACCCAGGTCATACTTGTGGTGTCATGATAAATTCTTTCTATTTATGGGTTTTTCAAATTTCTTTATTTATACATAGGGATGTCAACGAATATTCGAACAGCGAACATTCAAATATTCATTCGATGAGTTGATATTCGAATATAAATTTAAGATTCGAATATGCGGTGTTTAACAGATTTCGTAAAAAGAAATAGTGATTAATAAATTTTGATTAAATGAAAACCTTAGAATGTCTAAATGACGTGAAGAGTATACTTATCAATTGATCATTGAATGAGTGTCTGATAGAATTAGTCTGTAATTATAAATATTGTAAAGGGCTCAATTTCAGAATAAATGTGTAAATTACTAGATTATCTCGGGTTGTACATACTCCTGAATTTTAGATTCATTATCGGTAAATTAATTAATTACCTAGGGAAATTGTCTATGGAAATATTTGTTTATATTTTTAAAATATTTTATCAAAGATTTTAATCATATCTTTTATTAGACTGATAATTGTAATTAATTACACGTATTGAAATCTAAACAGTATACAACTATCCTGCCTTTGATAAGATGAATGGTTCCTCAGTTGGAGCTACTATAAATTTATTAAATTTGTTAAAATCATATTTTTCTACATTTAAATCAATTATTTATTTCAAACATTGACAAATATGAAGTGGAATTTCTTATTGTACATCTACAAAAGCCTTCACACAATTTTACTCCAATATTAGAATACCTACGCTAAACCTTTCATGAGAGTAGGATCATGCATATTTAAAATAAACCAGATTTTATTTACCGGTATTTTACCGAATATTTGAATATATTCGAATACTTTCTTGAATATTCGAATATGAATTATTGACAAAATTGACATCCCTACTTATACATGTATTTAAAATTGTGAAAATACACAAGTACACATGGACAGCATAAAAATTCATGTAAACTGGACTTGATTAGGACTGTATTGTTCCCAGTGGAACCTGGTTATAGATCTGTATTTATCACAATAACTATACATGGGTAAATGTCAGAGTACAACTCCTTGACATAAAAGAACCAATATATTAGATCTGGTACCAAACTTGGCTAAAGTTTTTTTTTTTTAAATGTAATTATCTTTTTAATATTTTGATCTGTTCTAACAAGCATAACACCAATATAAAACAGAGGTTCAAAGCAGAGAACATTTTCATATTATAAAGAGTGTCTTCACTATGTGTTTGGAACTCTCCAAGTCTCTCCAATGGAACACTCAAACAATGTGTCACAAGAGAAAATTCACATCACCTTCAAACAAATTAAAAATTTTAATGTTGGATATGAATCTTTTTAACTAATCAATCATTTTTTGGATCAGAATAATGAACCAATGTCTAAACAGGAAGGTAAACAGGTGCATTTCAATGAGGAATGTTTTCTAAAGCATGATTGGACATTCTGTTTTTCCTTCTTCCTTCATACATACTTGTATTAAAGGAATTTATGTCCAATACTATACAATGTTTACTACCTCTTATGGAATTCCCTTTTATATTTTCTCGGTTTTAACTGAGAATTCAAGGAAAACTAGGGCATGGCAAATAAGCTCACGGAAATCAATGGTTTTAACACAAGTTGCATGATTTTTTATTGAAAACATGTTTGAACAAGATTGTATAAACAGAAAAATAAAATCAACTGTGTCAATAGAATTGTTTCCTTTCCATTTGAATTATGCAAGTTTCTAACAATGTCCCAGTAACCCTTTAAACTACTATTAAATCAAACCCTAATTACCCACAGGAAGTTTTTTTTTAAAGAAATGATGTTTGAAGATTTAAAAATAATCTATAATTATTTAAATTTGTCCCTGTATGCACCATACCCACTTATGGCAAGTGTAAATCTGCCACCTACATTTAGTACATATGTCCTTTAGAATCAATTTAAAAAACATGCATGCTTAAATGTGTAATTCTTTTCAGATTAAACCAAGCCTATGCACACAGTCACTGGGTGCATGCCCTTCATTTGTTTGTTGATGCAATCATTGAGCACCAACAAATCCATAATAAGCAATTCAGTAACGTAGTAAAAATGGATGGATTCCTCTATAAATAGATGACAATTATATATTGATTGTACGCTCCCACAACTTAAAGGGCTGACGTCAAATTATTGTGAAAAACAGTCTAGATGTTTTCTGACGTAAATAATGACTGAGGTATTTACAGTAAAACCAAAAGTTTCATATGAACAGTTTGTTTTGCATGCAATAATTTGATATTCTCAGCCAGTTTTCTGAGTTGGTGTGGCATCAATAGGAATTCTGTAGCTGTCGATACATGTAATATTCTTTATTTTAATTGACATAATTCCATACATAAACAGATCAGAGGTCAAACCTTGCATAAATTTGTCCTACTTTTCAAAGAGTAATTACATAAATTGCTCATTAATAAAACAGTAGACAGATATATATGATTAAATAGGTTAAAATATAGGGTTATAGTACAAAGTCCACGTTAAAAAATTCTGTTGAGTACTAGGTATAATTAATCTTTAAGCCTGATCCCCTATTGACCTAGGGAGGGTATTACCGATACTATTACGAGGGATTTAACACAACTTACAATATCCATTTTAAAAAAAAACATTCATCTTTCTGTTCTGTAGATACAGTATAACTAAACCTTACACCTTCCCACTCAAATCTCATTAATCATCAATGTACACACATTTTTTGTTCATTCCACATTTTTTCTCATCAAAATAAAGTTTAAACAAACATAAACTTAAATATTACAAACATCCATAATTTTTTTTAGTAGCTAGACTTACACTATTTATAAAAGTTCATGAGGGCAGAGTCAGTGTTACACTGGGTTAGCCCTGGGGTATTCTCCCCTCTACACACTAATGAACTGCTTTCTACAACTTTTAACACACACACAAAAAAAATTAGTTCCAATGCCTAAAGAAAATCAATGCTGCATCCTCTTGTCTTACAATAAATACCCGCAAAACAAAGAATGTGAAGTCCCTCCTAACTAAAATTCATTCAGCCTTGGCTATTAAATTTGACTTATAGTAGCCTTGTCATCGTACATCAAACCTTGAAGAATAGCTAGACTGATATCCTTGGGTGATAAGGTCATTATTGATTGAGAGACTCCATTGACTAACTTTACCTCAAAAAAACATCTTAAAACTACCCCCTTAAGATCTTAGAGGAATACCCTCATACCCAAGATACGCTCAAAGTCCTCTAAGTTTTTGTGGACATTCAGTTTTATCTCAGAAAATCAAATCTTTTTTGGACAGAATTCATATCCTGCTACAGTCGGTACACAATCACATTCCATTTACAAGAATTTCTGACGTAACAAAAAAGATAGGATTTAAAATCCTTTACATATATATTTTCTGCTTATAAATAAATATACAATAAATTTGGGAATTCCTCCTCATTTCCCAATAGATATATACTTTACTTAAGCATGGTACCTATTTATGGAATCATGATTATTTTCATCAAATTCTGCAGGAAAAGAACATATTTCATAAAGTTCTGTCTATTTGTTGAAATTTAATGTCCTTGATTTCAGGAATGCCTTATTTTACTCAATATTTCCATCCCCGTAAAGACCTTGTACTTCACATCACCGCCAATACAGTCTTACATGCCCCATAAGTGTCTTCTAAATGAATCCAAATAATCTATCTCCCGGCATGTAGCCGTCACTGCTAATTTATTATGGCTATCCAGCCTACATTTATTAAGTGGTATATATGTTTAATGTTTTGTTGAGGTATAAAACTTGGTATCAGTCTATTATAAAACAACATTGGCACTAGATTTCTAGCTACTATTAGGATCACTCTTCTCTCTCATTTAACCAACCCCCTCCCAATCCCTCTCCCACCTTCACCCAACCCCCTCCCAATCCCTCTCCCACCTTTACCCTACATCTTCCCAATCCCTCTCCCATCTTTACCCTACATCCTCCCAATCCCTCTCCCATCTTTACCCTAACCCCCTCCCAATCCCTCTCCCACCTTTTCCCTACCCCCTCCTAATCCCCCTCTCACCTTTACCCTACCTCCTCCCAATTCCTTTCCCTCCTTTCAGCACCACCACTGTCACCAAACAAAAATCTTTTCAAGTGAATATAAAAATTTTAACAAAAATTCTCATAAAACTCAAATCATGTTTTATTTGCTACCCCCCAAAAGCATCATAAATATTCATAAATAATTTATTTGAAGGATTTGAAACATCATTCTCAAGTGTGTCAAGCACTCACATGCCTTTTCCATTAGAAGTAATGGAGCATGCATTCTTTTGAAGTTTTCATCAGATGCCACTCCTAATGTTAACCATTAAATAATGCATACTTCTTCTAAATTTTTAAAACATTTTCAGTGATATTGCCAATAATAAAGTCCTTGATTTTTGTTGTTGAAAATCTGGGTAATTAAATCTCTTTGCTAAAGACTTTTTCCATTTCTCATTGTGATTTGTTATACAACTGTGTGTACGTGTACTTATACAACCAATAAATAATGCATACTTCTTCTAAATAAAATAAAAACATTTTCAGTGATATTGCCAATAATAAAGTTCTTGATTTCTTTTGTTGAAAATCTGGGTAAATCTCTTTACTCCTAACTTTTTTCCATTTCTCATTGTGAATTGTTATACACCAGTGTGTACGTGTACTTGTACAGATAAACTCAATATGAGGTAACATGCACTCTAGAAATAAGTACTAAATGTACATATACTATCCTGGAAACTACATATGAGAAATACATTACAATGAATGGGAATTTACTTGAATACTTTAGGGTTTATTCTCTAGCAGGAAATGTGTAACAATCGACGATAGGGATGGGCCACAATAAGGAAGCCACTAAGGATGGGAATTAGGAACTGTGTGTGTTTTCCATACGATATTTCTGACTTGCGCCCCCTTAACTGGAATGTACAGACTCAGTTTATTTTCTGTATAACGTACATCCTGTACCCACATCCCCTTGTTTACAGACAGATCCTGTTTTGTTTGGATCATCAGCACCCCCTGAGTTCTGTACCAACCCCTCCTAACTACAACTGACCATCACAAAGATCTAGGACTAGGCCTTACTTGAAAATACTAGTTCAGATTCTGGATGACATCTTTCAAATAAAATACAATGAATGTTGTGAAAAACAAAATATTCAAACTTGTTTTAGATAACATCATTCGACCACTTTATACAAACAAACTGACAATTTATCAATACATAACCATTTAAACTAGAATACAAGGGGGGGGAAATCTTAACACTTTTTAAAAAAAAAAAAATGTAATCATCTACAAAATCAGTTGTACTGAGTACAGTGAAGTTTCCTGCTGCTTTCACCCTTGTCCTTTTGTCACTATGCTAGTAAAGTGCCTGTCCTGCTCCGGTCAGACTGCTGTGACACTGGTCAGCTGCTTACCAGGACATCAATCAATTTTTGTCAGCTTTCTATTCATTTGCCCACTGCTTTGTTATAGTTTCTCTCTCAAGCATTTTTCTTTTTCTAACATTCTCAACATGCTTCTCAATGACCTTTATAATTTTTCTTTTCCTCTGTACTGCTTCAGTTTGCTGGCCTAGTGTCTTTATGTGTATTAAATGTCAAATGAAGTCCTTTTGAAAAAGATCTAATACATATATGGAAAATTATCTACATGTATTAAAATTCCTACTTTATTTTATCAGTTAAACAGTATAATTCTGTTAATTTATTTTAGTATTCCAGAATAATATCTACTCCTCTTTGTTGCTTTGTAAATTAACATCAACTGTCATTATTAGCACTTGCAGAAACTAGGCCAATACAAAATCAATACTGCTCTGCTTTTTATATGCTTGTCTCTTCTCACAAGATGATAACAAACAACAGAGGCACAAGACGAATAACAGCACAGTAATAGATTCTTGTGCAAGAATGCCATTCTTCTGTGAATGTATGCCAACTATATTTGCATCATCTTGTTGTTTTGAGTTGTACACTAGTTAGAGCTGTGAAAACAGAGGCTCACTGTTCAGACAATCACAGGTTATTGACTTTAGAAGCTCCCTTCTACTATTGATTGATAGAAGCAGCAGCCATCTTTTGTTTTCAATGCTTCTCAATGAACTTCAAGCAATTCATTACATCAGATTTGTTGGTACAGCTTGCATCATCTGGCTTTTCATCTAACAGTTACTCATTTACTAACTGCATGGAGTGTAAATAAAATTTGGGATTTTAATCAATAGATCTGACACATCTATTCATTGTATAGTGGACACTAGCCGATATTAAAAAAATTCCTTGCCATCTTTTACTGCCTTAAACAGTAAAGAGATTGTATGATTTTTGGTCATTGAGGTTAAGAATTCATTCTTTAAACCCGTTAATGCCGTTATTGTAGCATGGACACCGTGGCCTGAATATTTAAACTGGGGATTACTCTTATTCTAGTGACCGACTGAAATATACCTCAATGACTTTCACACATAAGGTGAAAGAACAAAATATTTTAAATATCTTTAATTTATACACTTCTCTTATGACAATCTTTTCTGATGATGCAATCTCTATTACTTTCTGTCAATATGAAAAATTTAAGTGATGACTCTTGAATGAAAATTTTCTAGCACATCAAAAGAAATAAGTGCATTGACGTGTCCTTCCACTAGTGTATGAATATATATTATGTCTTATTAATACTATACTATTGACACTATAAAGACTTTAATATATAACACGCCGTGAAAGAACCATTAAATTTCAGAATATCAACAAAATTTCCAGAAGAATTTATTGATCATTTAAATTGTTTTCCCTATACTTATCGATTACACAAGACTAAATACAAAGAATCCCTAATGTTTATACTGAAAATCACAATCATTCAAGCATAAAATGTTCAGATCACATTGTACAACATAAAACATGATATTGACCACGTGTTACTGTACACAACATTCTTCCATTGATTACACGAGCACTTCAAATATTCACACTGTATGTTTTCACAACTATGTGTACATCCCTCAATAAACTGATGAAACATCAAAATGAAAGTATAGAGAGAAATCAAATTATATACTCACATCAGTCATGATTTCTGTGCGTGATTTTTACTGTGTGACAAATAGACGCTCTTCTTCTCTTCGTGTTTCAACAATGTTTTGACCTTCAACAGGAAAAAAGAGGCATATAAATATGTGGAATCCTGATTGGTTGTTGCACTCCACACCCTCTCTACGTATAATGTGTGTGGGAGAAATCCGAGAAGTTCCGATTCCAATTACACTGGTAGCACTGGTTCTCTGCCCTTGATTCCAGTCGCTACCGCTAGGAATTAGGGCGCTTGCGCCCGTTAACCAATGTCAGGGTACCAGTCTATTACACTGGCCTTGTCACCAGTCTTTGGCATCGTCTAAAGCATTTTTGGGGGGAAGGGGGGTGGGAGGGACCAAACACAAATTCATTGACGAAAAAAAGACAAGGCCATCAGACATTATTCGCTTTCTATTTTAAAGTATTGTTGGCATTTTGGGGTGGGGGTTACCATGGGAAATCAGTATAAATCTGTATCTCGGGGGTACGATTGGTAGGGACAGTAAAAGGAAGGAACTAAAGAGAGGAGTAAGGATTGAGGGGGAGGGGATGATATGGGGGAGGGAATTAAGAGGTCGATATTTATATTAAGCCCTGGATCTTTTTCACTACCGCAAGAGGGAACTTCAAAACATACATGTATTAAAGAAGAAAAAGTAGACGAGGTGAAATACCAGGTGGCGAAAAGAGAAAACCTGATTTACTGAGGGTATGTCTTGGCTTACCTGTCCTACTTTATACAATTACTGACTTTTGATGAGGTCTGATATTCAGATTTAGGTTTTTGAAAAAAATTATTTTGATTAATGGTTTTTAATTAAGTTTGTAAAATATTTTTTTTTTAAAATGGTGAAAGTTTTCTTTACTTGTTTCAGTTATTTTCAAAAATATTTCAAAAGATATACGTACTTATTTTTATCTAGGTACATGTATGTTCATAGTTTAAGGTCTTGAAACCCGCATTCCAGTTCAATACAATATTTTTTTTTTAAATCTCACATTACTTCTGAAAGATTTCTGTTGTTTTTTCCCCGATAAAAATGGTTTGTTTTTTGTTTTTTTTTACTTTGTATGAATTTCTCGGTTATGCTTTTTTTTGTTTCGAATTTTCATGATCACATCTAAGTCATATACTTTTTCATCATAATACTAACAACAATTAATACTTCCGTGTGTTCTGGAAACTACAGACAGAGTTTTCCTTAGAACTATAACCGTGGCACTTCCAAGAAAAATAGTTGTACTGTGAAGTTTACATTTAAGGAGGCTGGGGGGTCAACAAATTAACCACCAGATTTAACTTAATTTGTTAGAAATGATATCTTAAGCTGTCAACTATCATTTGGCAAAGAAAAATTTCAAAAATTTTAGTTTTAAAATTTGATCATTTTCTATATCTTCATATGGAGCTCTTCTTCTAAAGGAGATCAATATAGTCTAAAAATGGCCACAACCCCCCAGCCTCTTTAACAAAGAAGTACTTAAAGTTCTCTATTATTTAAAGACCTCTGTTCAATTATGTTCCTGTTTTGAAATTAACAATCTGATTATTGACTTGTTAAGAGTCTATGTAAACAGGAGATGTTTGTGAAAGCAGAAACACTTATGCCCCCCTCCAAATCCAAGGGGCATAACTCTGTTAAAAATTGCTCGATCATACCCAAAACAGAACTTGACCTAGATATTCTTTTGATAAATCTGTATACCAGATTTCATTTCAGTATATATGTGCAACATCTGCGAAAAAAATGAACGGAAACTGCAAATAATTGGAATTTTCCTAAGTCCAAGGGGCATAACTCTGTAAAAAATTGCTCGATCGTACCCAAAACAATTCTTGACCTAGATATTCCTATGATAAATCTGTATACCAAATTTCATTTCAGCATGTGCAACTCCTGCGAAGAATATGAACGGAAACTGCAAATATTTGGAATTTTCTAAGTCCAAGGGGCATAACTCTATGAAAAATTGCTCGATCGTACCCAAAACAGAAATTGACCTAGATATTCTTATGATAAATCTGTATTAAATTTTTATGTGCAACCTCTGCGAAGTAAACGAACGGAAACTGTTGGTGGACCGACAGACTGCAGCAAAGCAATATGCCCTCCCTTCTTCGAGGGGGGGGGGGCATAAAAAATCTGTATTACACCCCACCCCATGAATGCTACCCCATGCTTTAGTAGATTTAATTTAAAAAAAAAGATGTTTTTCAGTAGTCTGGAACAGGCATCCCATTAGAATTCCAGAGTAGCCATTGATTACTAGACCCCAACCAGCCCCCAAAAATATGAATTCATAAAATCAGTCAACTCTCAATTTATTAATGATAATGGACCTTAACGCTCAACTAAGTCAATATGGCCCTGCCGTTTTTTTATAAGCAGATTTTTTCTATTATATATTCCTACGTGAAACTTTGATCACCCATTGCAGCCCCATCCTATCCCAAGAGGTCGATTTGAACAAAATTGAATCTACAATACCTGAGGATGCTTCCAAATCAATATGACTAATCATGGCTTTGCTGTTCTTGAGTATAAGTTTTTTAAACCATATATTCCTATGAAAAAAAAATTGATCCCCCATTGTGGCCCACCCTTGCCCGGGGTCATGATTTGAACAAACTTGAATCTACACTACATGAGGATGCTTTTATATCAATATGACTAACATGGCTTTGCTGTTCTTGAGAAAACGATTTTTTGAAAAAAAATTTCCTATATATTCCTATGTAAAACTTTGAAATCTCATTGTGGCCCTACCCTTCTCCCGGGGGTCATTATTTAAACAAACCTGAATCTTGAATTCACACTTCGTGAGGATGTGATTTATGTTGACATTGCTGTTCTAAAGAATTTTTTTTTTTTTATTTTTTTTTTTAAAATCCATGATACCAGGTATTCATAAGTAAAACTTTGATCCCCCATTGTAACCCCACCCTATTCCCAGAGGACATGATATGAACAAAATTGAATCTACCTGAGGATGCTTCTAAATTAATATGATTAATCAAGGTATTGCTGTTCTTGAGAGAAGATTTTTTCCTATATATTCCTATGTAAAACTTTGATCCCCCATTGTGGCCCAACCCAACCCCGGGGTCATGATTTGTATAAACTTGAATCTACATTATATAATGAAGGTTTTCACATATTTTAATATTTTTTGGTGGGAAGACAGTACTATTGACCGTATGAAGATAAAGGCATACCGGTAATATGTTATGAAGTGTTCATTTTCACCAACTTTCTAAAAAAAAATTCTTTGACATTTTTAAAGACATACATGTAAGTCTGTATACATTCGGGCCATAGCAAGATCTACTTCTTATGGGAAACCAGAAGTCTCTGATGAGACTGTAGCTCTACTGGTCTGTACATACAACAAACATGCAGCAATAAATAGAATTATGTATCTTAATGAAGTCTACTTGTGTGCCAAGTTATATTGAAATCAAACAAAAACTGTAGGAGGAGCAGCGTTTTAAAGGAATTTCACAGATATTTCTATTTTAGTAACCATGGCAACACCGCTCATCGAAATCAAAAACCGATGCACTAAATTATGTATCTTAGTGTAGTCTACTTGTGTGCCAAGTTATATTGAAATCAGACCAAAACTGTATAAGAAGTAGCGTTTTAAAGGAATTTCACAGAAATGTCTATTTTTAGTAACCATGGCAACACCGTTCATCGAAATAAAAAACCGATGCACTAAATTGTGTATCTTAGTGTAGTCTACTTGTGTGCCAAGTTATATTAAAATCAGACCAAAACTGTAGGAGGAGTAGCGTTTTGAAAAATTGTTTACAGACAGACAGACAGACGGACGGACGACGGACACCTTACTATCGCATAAGCTCTTCTGGTCTCTGACCAGTAGAGCTAAAAATGAAAACGAAAGTAATTTAACATGGAATTAAAGGCATTGATAACTGAGATTGAATGGACTCCCCTCCCCCTCCCTGGGGGGTGCGGGGGGGGGGGTGAGTCGAACTTCAAATTTTACTTCAAACCATTCGATGGAAATCTGTCCTTAATATTGGGGGAAAACAGCCAACAACAAACAAACAAATGTGACAGCAAGAAGAATTATGACCAAATCCATTTCTGTCATCTTGATGTGAAAGAATTGTCAAGGAGCTAACGGAGCAAGTACACGTACAGGCCAGATCGAAGCACAACACACAGTTTGTTAAGACAATGAAAGGAAAATGGTAACAATCTTATATTAGTTTGAGAACACTGTTGAAGTAAAATAGCCCCTGTCCTGGTTATGTCAATATTTGTCTCCTCCATCTTTCTTTACTTGTTGACTCTACTCGTGTACCTTATCTTAAGCTGTTTAACTTACCACTTTTAATCTCCTTTCAGGTAAGAGAAGGGCGGAACACCAGAAGCACATTTTCTTTTATTTAGGGGAAAATACCAGAGAAAATGCTTGCATGAATTTTTAAAAAAAATGCAAGCTTGTGCAATGTAGTACTTTTTTTTCATTCTGTACGGTCGTGATGAAGGTCAGCATTTATATATCTTACATGTATAATTAGTGTCTCCAGATTACCGAGTAAAACAGACACATACAAATGGTTACCCGAGAAACAATTCCGTCAAGGACAAAAATAATTACAACTTTCCCTATTAATCAGAGGAAAAGTAATTTCCAGTGTGTACGTGTCTTTAAGACGTTGGGTTTCTTAAACTTCCTCGATCGAAAAATTCATTGAGCTATTAATAATCCTTCAATACTTGGTAACATCTGGTATGAATATAGAATAAATATAGATTTCTTAAGATTTCTTAAGTTTTCTGATGAAATCTTAAACAAAAGGTTCATCGACCCTGACGATCACCTATGACGAGTTTCTCAGACTATGGATGGCCACTTAAGGTCCATCTGGAATTATTCATCATACCAGGGTATTCGTCTCCTAGAAGCTCAGGGGTAAAGAAAATGAACACCGTATATATATAATAAAAGTATCATATATAAGTCCAACTTTGCTCCAACATGGGACAGGATCCCTAGCCCCGGGGAATATGAATTTTTCGGTTTTTGCACAGGGTTAATTAGCTGCATGCTA